CTGCCCCGTGAGCACTCGGACACGCTCTCGCTCGTCTTCCCATGTCTTTAGCCAGCCCCTACCCTGTTCTCGGTAAAACTGCTCAAAAGATGACTTGTTTGCCTCTGCCTGTTGGAGACTAAGACCCTCCACATTCCAACGACTTGTCCTGACTTGTCCTACGCACAGAAAATAGCCTAAGACGAAAATAGCACCCAGCCCCCCAGCTATAGTTTTGAGAAGAATGCATTCCATGATGCATTCCATGACGTGCTTGCTCCAGGGAATGCTACCTGCAATTGTTCCCGACCCCCTGCCAGGTTGGGGTTGAGTGATCCATCACAAACAGCTTCCGGTGCCATTGGGATGCTGATTGGGGCTGATTAGCCCACACCCAAGCCTCATCATCCCCCCACTCAATTTTTCTGTTTCTACTTCCTTGTTTCTGTATATAAAACCTACTAAAAATCCAAGTAAAGTAGACCTTGACAACCCTTTGCTTGGTCTCGTTCCTTTCTCTCGCCCATCTCTTTCAGGCACGTCCCCCTTGCCCCCGGAGTAACAGAAGGTCCCGCAGGCCGGGACAAGTGGCGCCCAACGTGGGGCCCGAGGTACGGACCTTTGTCGGGTGACGCTTCGGAGTGCTCTTCGGCCAAAGGAAACCCTACAGAGACCCTCGTTCTGCTGCTCACAGAGTCCACCGTCTGGTGAGTAAATTTTTACATTGTCACCCATCGAGATGGCCATTCATGTCTAAAGAGGCCGTTTTTATCAAGGATCTTAAGGCCTCACTCAGAGAGAGAGGAATTAGAGTTAAGAAAAAAGACTTAGTAAAGTTTTTTGTTTCATTGATCGTGCTTGCCTTGGTTTTATTATTGGTGGACCTGAGATTCACCCACACAAATGGCAAAAAGTTAGGTAGAGATTTAATACAGGTAGACGCAGCCACACAAAAATCGGTCTCCGTGTTTTACCAACGGCTAGAACAAAGAGGCTCCAGAGAAGACCTCCATACAGAGTCTCCCCATTCAGCCACAGAGGGTCTAAAGTTTTCTAACCTTGCCTCAGACATAGAACGCAGTTGGTTCCAAAAGCTGTGGAGACGCCCATGACGGGATTATCGCGATGCCGCGTACCAGGTGCACACCCCGCCAGCAGTGAGGTAACTCCATGACGGGAATATTGTAGGTCCATGCCCGGGGCCACACTTCATAATCAGAAGTGCCGGAGCTGGATGCCACCTACATAGCCTAAGACAGAGGCCTCACCGTCATTTCGATCGCCCGATCTTATATTTGGGGTGCTGGTCGCGGAAGCCCATCGCGTAGCCTAAGACAGGCTCTCCACCAACCTGTGTAAATCTCCCGCATATTAATAAAGATAGGGGGAGATGTTGGAGACTAAGACCCTCCACATTCCAACGACTTGTCCTGACTTGTCCTACGCACAGAAAATAGCCTAAGACGAAAATAGCACCCAGCCCCCCAGCTATAGTTCTAAGAAGAATGCATTCTATGACATGCTTGCTCCAGGGCATGCTACCTGCAATTGTTCCCGACCCCCTGTCAGGTTGGGGTTGAGTGATCCATCACAAACAGCTTCCGGTGCCATTGGGATGCTGATTGGGGCTGATTAGCCCACACCCAAGCCTCATCATCCCCCCACTCTATTTTTCTGTTTCTACTTCCTTGTTTCTGTAAATAAAATCTACTAAAAATCCAAGTAAAGTAGACCTTGACAACCCTTTGCTTGGTCTCGTTCCTTTCTCTCGCCCATCTCTTTCAGGCACGGTCCCCCTCGCCCCCGCAAGTAACAGAAGGTCCCGCAGGCCGGGACATGGGGGCCGGGACATCTGCAGTCTCAATTTCTCACCTCCCATCTTCAACCCGATTGCTGGAAGTGCTCCTGTCAGAGTTGCCCGTGATCTGCAGGTTCCCTGACCCAACACACGCTTCTCTAGCTGTGTGTCAACTGCTCAGCGCTGTCCACCACAGTGGACTCTTCCCTCCCTGAAACCCTCTTCTCCCTTGGCTTCCAAGACGCCACACACTACGCAGTGCTGGTTTGATCTCACCTCTGGCTGCCTGCTTCCATCTCCCCTGCCACCCTCTCGTCTCTCCAGCCCCCCAGCCTGGAAGGCTGTCGAGCTCATTCCTCAGGCCCCTGGTCTTCCCCATCTGCATCCAGCGGCGACCTCACCCAGGCCCACGTCACCACACAGGCCGATGACACCCACATTTCTGCCTCCAGCTCGCCCCTCTCCTGGACACCCAATTGGCACATGTGACATTTCCACCTGGGGGGTCTAATGGGCAGCAAAATCTGACAGGCACAAACAAACAGGGGCAAAGCAGAACTTCTGATTTTCATCCCACCCGTGTTCCTATCACAGAAAATGGGAACAGTTATTCAAACCCAAGAATCGACTTTAATTCTTCCCCTTACTTCGCACAGATCCAACCCACCGGCGATTCTGGTTGATTCTGCCTGCAGTGCATCTCAAATGTGTCCACTTCCTGGCTCTTCCACTGCCATCACCCTAAGCCAGGCCAGCCACTGGTCACTACCCTGGACAACGACACCTGCCTCCTATCTGGTTTCCCTGCGTCGAGCCTTGCTGCCTTGTATCTTTTTCCAGACCCTGTGGCCATAGACGTAGACACAATCTAGCCAGACTGACATTTACAAACATAAATCAGATCCTGCCTCTCCTCTGTTCCGACCCTCCAACGGCTTCCATTACACTGAAAGTCCAAACTCCTCACTTGACCTTGAAGGCGCTGCATGAGCTACCTCCACCCCACTCGTCTCCTGCCGCTCTCCCGTGTGCCCCCGGGTTCCACCTCGCTGGCCTCAAACATGCCGAGTTCTTCCCTGCCTCGGAATCACTCTGCCTGCCGTGTCCTCTGCTTGAAGCTCTCGCGGCAAAGCTCTTCCCGAGGCTGCTCCTTCTCATCCTCGGTCACCATCAAATGCCATCTCCCTGGTCACTTCCCTGGTACCTGCTCCTGAGCTCCTGATTATTGATTGCATCACACTATAGTTATTAACATTCTCCTCCACTTGCTTCTTGTCTGTCTCTCCTGCAGCCAGAGCTGCGTCTGCCTGTTCACTGTTTAATCTTTAGCACACGACAAGTGCCCGGCACGCGTGGGTGCTAACAAACTTGGGCAGCGTGGAATGAATGAGCGAAGGAGCCCTCCTTTCGGAAGTAAAGTGGATCAGACAGGGAGGCTTGCTTTGAAGCCTTGACAATAATAATTTCTTCTTATGTTCATCTAACACCTTAGTACTTTTAACTTTTCAAAGCCCCCTGTGGGCTCATTTGCACCTCACAGCTGCCTAGTGATGGATGAACAAGGTGGGGCGTGTGTCGGTGTGGAAACGGCAGGTCACAGAGGTGAAGGCACAGGCCAAATGTCACAACTGGGGACAAAGCTGGACGGGAAGCAGGTTTTCTGACTTTCACAGGCTTTTCTCACTGAACCAAGATGGTTTTCTCAACTTCTGTACCTCCCCTCCGTCCTTCCCCAGTTCTTTTTCTTTTTTCTTTTTTTTTTTTTGAGACAGAGTGTTGCTTTGTTGCCCAGGCTAGAGTGAGTGCCGTGGCATCAGCCTAGCTCACAGCAACCTCAAACTCCTGGGCTCAAGCAATCCTGCTGCCTCAGCCTCCCAAGTAGCTGGGACTACAGGCATGCGCCACCATGCCCAGCTTATTTTTTCTATATATATTAGTTGGCCAATTAATTTCTTTCTATTTATAGCAGAGATGGGGTCTTGCTTTTGCTCAGGCTGGTTTTGAACTCCTGACCTCGAGCAATCCGCCCACCTCAGCTTCCCAGAGTGCTAGGATTACAGGCGTGAGCCACCACGCCCGGCCCCAGTTATTTTTCTTAATGAAAGGTTCTGATTTGGGGACTTCGTAGACATAGAGTTGGTTAAAAACAAACAAAAAGCTGGGGACAAACAAGTCCAGAAGCAAAACACCCTCTCGATCTTTGTACCAAAGAATCTCCCTCAGGTAGTGACTGGGGGTGGGGGTTGGGGACTCACCTGGTTTTCTCTTGATTGGTGTAAATCTTTACCCGGTTGGCAGTAAAGAAGAATCTGAAATTTAGAAGAAAGACAATATTTCAGGAAGAAGAATAAAAAAAAAAAAAAAAAAAAGGTTAAAAATTGCCCTTTGAAAACATAGTTAACTCATTTTACACTTAATATCGACACCCCATTATATAGGAGGTAGACTGAACCCAGTCCAAGTGACACATAGCAGCTTCATACAGATGCTAGCAAAAATTTCACTTTGCTAATAGCCATTTATTCCAACGAACAATTTGAGACCATCTCAACTTTACTGATGAGAACTGAGTTTTATTCATTAGGTAGGTGATAATAGGTCATTTAAGGGTCAATTTTTTTTAGCATGAACCAAAGTTTATTGAGGAAGGGCAAGATAGGTTTACAGAGCAAGAGCAAGATACATTCGCCACAGATGACGAATGGAGCTCTGTCGTAACAAAAAGGCAGGGCCAATTTGGTTCTTGCAGGTTAAAAAAACACAACTCCCATTTAGTCTAAGCAATAATGAGAACATTTCCAGTGTGTCAGGGGCTCAGCTGAAGCCTTTGTGCACATCAGCCTGTGGAATCCTCTAAGGCAGGCACTATAACTGTGCCCATTTTACAGACAAGGAAACTGAAGCTTGGTGAAGGAGAATTCAGTGCAGCAGGATCTCAACCTGAGTCTGCCTGATTTCAAAGTCCCTGCTCTCACCTCTGACCCTTTAGTGAGGGAAAGTGGGTCTCTGTTAGTGTGAAATCAAGACAGAAACCCCACCCACCCGCCCCTCAGGTCAGTAACACGGGGACCAGTGAGGTTCAACTAGGTTGAGTGCTTTGACTTTGGCTGGTTCTGGCTGAGTTCTGTGGGACACTAGAGGTCTCAGAGGGACAGACTGACTTCCTGCTACTCATGGGCTAACTTGGCAAGTCCCATCACAAGTAAAGAGCATTTTACACCCCCCAGGCCAAGGGTCTCACCCCATCTGAGGGAGAACGACACACTAGCATGCTGGGTAGCATCTGACAACTTTTCTACGGACAGAAAGTCAGTCAGTCAATTTTCTGCTTCTACAGACAGCCTTCAACCTCTGAATGCATCAATTTCTGGGAAATCGTAAGAGATGATAGAACCACCACGAGTTTGGTTAAGTGTAGATTTTTGGAAAAGTTCTACAAGGTGCCTGCCAAAATGCTGGAGTGGACACTGGATGTTTGTGCCCAACCAATACCCCTTCTCCCATCACCCTTGTGTTGGAGGGCTGCTCGCCAACCTACGCCAGAGGCAGGCGGGCCCCTGACCCAGGCCTGGCCATTCAGAGCAGGGCACTTCCTCAGTCGCAGCAACAGAATTGGGGGTGCACTGCCCACTCTTGGTCATCTTAGGCTCAACCAGACAATCAAACTTGAAAAGACCACACCTGGCCTGGCTTCCCTGAGGACACGAGGCAGGAAACGCTGTGTACCCACAGGGCAACATCAGAATCATGTCCTCAGAGGGAGCCAGCGCAATGGCCCGGGTGCTGTTCTCTGGTCTCCCAGTGGGCAAGGGAACAGCCACATACACACGGCACTGGGACCTCTAGTGATGGCTCTTGGGCAAAGTCTCTAGAGGTCTCAGCGAGGTTCCTGCCCAGTGAAGGAACCACTGCATTCATGGAAGCCCAAAGCCATGGCTTCCCACCAGGGGCCCCGTTCACTCAGGCTTCCCAGTCCAGATGCCCGGCACCTGTCATTTTCACATAAGTAACACGGCTGCACCTTTATCTAGGGCTCAGAGCTTCAGCAAGATAAGGGAAGTGCTCTCGTGTAGAAGGGGAAAGGGTTTGTTAACTCTTCACTCACAAAGGGAAAGCACAGAAGCTAAGTCAGACCAATGTGTCATTCCCGTGACTTTTGCTGAAGCCAATTAGAAAAGAGGGCTGTCCTTCCAGGCTGGTAGACCATCAGCCTGGAGATGCTGGTGGCCTCCTTTGTCACTGTGAGAATGAAGCCCCCACAGAAGGACAGAGCTGAGATGGTGGGAGTCAGGTGCCATCTGACATCTTCTGGTCACCTTGATCCACTCATCCTGAAGCCGGTACAATCTCTGAACCTTTTAGTGACACCAGCCTATAAATTCTCCTTTGGTTTAAGCCATGTTGGGTTGGGTTTCTGGTACCTGTGGTCAAGACAGTCTTGGTAACATACATATGGACCAGTGAGTTTGAGAGTGACAATCAAAAAAGGGAGGAGGCCTGGGCTAGGTTGAAAGATGAGTTTTAGTCTGATTCTCTGGCTAACTGACTAGATTGGGATAAGTTCTTTCCTTCTCTGGTCCTCAGAAGGGGATTCAACTAAATGGGCAGTTTTCCAATTGGGCAGAGACATTCTACGGAATTCCAGGCCTCCTGGGCTGTGTGGGTGTGGCTTTGGCTAGAAGCAGTTTTTATCTGTCCTACACATCTATACATCAGGCTTCTGGGCCAGGTTTGAAGACAGGCTCTGCTGATACAAACAGAGTCAGAAAACTACCACTTGGAGGGCTTCTTGGGCTAATACCAACATTCAGAGGATCCGGAGGACTCTAAGAAAGGTATTCTCTGGGCTCCCTCCTTCCTGCTCAATCACTCAACATCTCTGATGCCTGCAGCGAGGACAGACCTGGGAAAAGGCTGTGGGGTAAGTCTGATCCTTTACCAGTCGCCACACTGGGGGCACACATGGTCTCATTTCACTCCCACAAGCCCCCTCTGAGGGAGCCACCACCACTACCATGACCTGTATGCAGAAGAGAAATAAGAAATACATATGTAAGCCTCTGCCCCCAGTTCATGACACAGAGATCCCAAAACCTGTGTGATTTCCTAAGCAGTGGCGGTGCTAAAAGCATCTTTTGTTCTGTTATTTGGTCTTTTACACAGTTCCTGACGCAGAGCTCCTAAATCCTTTGGAATTTCCTGGGTGATACAAATGTCTCTTGTTCTAAGGAGGCAACTCTTGGTGGGCTCCTGGTTGGGGGCTCACCAGAAAGACCAAGCCATGATCAGAAGTTTGGAACTTACAGGTCATCTAGTAAGTGAATGGTCTGCCTGAGTTCTGTGAGCTGTTCTAGCACATGATTGAACCTGACAAGCGTGTCATAAGAACCTCTGATTTGTAGCAAAATCGGACAGAAGCTGTGGGTGACCTGGCGACCCAACACTGCAGCTGGCATCTGAAGTGGAGGGCAGCCTTGTGGCACTGAGCCTTTAACCTACTAAGTCTTCCCTAACTCTGGGCTGTTAGTGTCCGAATTGAGCTAAATGGTAGGGTATCTAGTCAGTGTCAGGACAGGTGGAGAACTGGCTGGTGTGAGAAAAACCCCACACATCTAGTCACAGAAGTGGTGGAAATACTGAGTGGGGGTATACAAGAAAACAGCTGGTTTTTCCTGTACAGCAGATGAGGAATTGGAGGTGTCAAGAGCTTGCCTGGCATGCCCAAGGTCACAAAGGACGAGATATACAGCAGGCAGCCCCAGAAGATGTTCTGTGTTCTACCCTTTAGGCTTCGACTGCTTGTGGGGGTAATACACACCCCACACCTGCCTGCCCACAGGAGCTCAGGAAAGGAGGAGCCTTGGAGGGGAAGGAGCTGAGAGGCACAGGGACGCGCTCACCGCTGGATGGAGGCCATGCGCTCTTTCAGAGCCTGCACGAAGGGTAGGATCCAGTGGTGGCGCAGAACCACGCTCTGGGACAGGCTGAGGTGGAACGCCTCCATCCTCACCAGCCGGGGCACGTAGGTCTGGGCGTGGGGCAGCAGCACGTCAAGCAGATCCAGGAACTCCTCCTTGGCCTCATCTGCAGGGGGAGAGTGAAGCGGGTGGGCCTTTCTCTTGGCCAAGGTGTCATGGCGAAATGAAGAAGCCCAGAGAGCAGAGGCAGGCCCTTATTACTCTGGGTTTCGGGAAAAAATTACTTTGGGAAGCAGCCTATGTCTGTGTATGCCCATAATGTTTCACTGTGTATTTCTGGTTATAGAAGTCACACATGCTCATCATAAAGAATTCAAGTGAACAAGAAATATGCAGGGGACTTCCGGTTTCTGTCCAGCATGTAATAAGCTTGGAAGTGGCCACCTCATCCTAACAACATACTGAAAAAGCAACCATTCTTAGCTCTATAGGAGAAGTGAGGTCGCAGGGCCAACTGCTGCCCCCCAAATCAGAGAGACCAACAGGCGAATACAGAGACTCACAGATTACCAGACCAAACTGGAAACCCACAGCTGAAGCCTCTGCAGGAGCCAGGGCCATGTAGGGAAAGCTGAACCATAATGGACACATTGCCGGAGACTCAGTGTGTACAAATCTGAGAGTTAGAAACTCCAGCGGTACCCAGTCTGGGGGGACTCCTATACTTCTGTGAGGTTTATCTTCTAGGCCTCTATTAGGTTATCATACTGAGTATCGGGGGAAAACTCCCTTGTGTTTCTGGCTGGGGAAGAGCAAAAGGAACCATTTCGAAGTACACAGGAGCATTCTGGTTTTCTTTTCTTTTTTATTTTTTTTGAGACAGAGTCTCGGTTTGTTGCCCCGGCTAGAGTGAGTGCCGTGGCGTCAGCCTAACTCACAGCAACCTCAAACTCCTGGGCTCAAGCAATCCTCCTGCCTCAGCCTCCCAAGTAGCTGGGACTACAGGCATGCACCACCATGCCCGGCTAATTTTTTTTCTCTCTCTCTATTAGTTGGCCAATTAGTTTCTTTCTATTTATAGTAGAGACGGGGTCTTGCTCTTGCTCAGGCTGGTTTCGAACTCCTGACCTGGAGCAATCCGCCCGCCTCGGCCTCCCAGAGTGCTAGGGTTACAGGCGTGAGCTACCGCGCCCGGCCTGGTTTTCTTTTCTTTTCTTTCTTTTTTTTCATTCTGGTTTTCTTAATAGAAAATAGTTTCTGTCCTTAAACAGGAGAAATGTTTAATTAGAGCCTAACCTGTTGGTGTTTTATTAGACCCTACTGACATGCGGAAGTGAAATCCCCAGCCGTGGCCCCCAGCCATCCTGTCCCACCTAAGAGGGGAAAAATCTGAGAAGCACAGGAAGTGGAAGTGCAAGTCCGGGGCACAGACTCACCTGGAGACTAAGACCTGATCTCAGGTCCAGAGAAAGCTTCCCCTCCCCCCATGCCTCACACACCCCACTATAGGCCTGTTTATAGCAGTTCCTTTTCTAGAGTACAGCATGTCCAGCTATCAAGAAAAAAGTATAAGACATAATAAAAGGCAAAAATACAGTTTGAAGAGATACAGCAAGCATCATGACCCCTTAACAAACTGAAAAGACTAGAAATCATACAATGTCTGATCTCAGGCCACAATGGAGTAAAACTAGCAATCAGTAACAGAAAGATAACTGGAAAATCCCCAAATGCTTGGAGATTAAACAACACACTTCTTTTTTTTTTTTTTTTTTTTTTTTATTTATTTTGGGGTCATCCTTTAGCTTGTAAAACAACACACTTCTAAATAACACATGGGTTAAAGAAGAAATCTCAAGAGACATTTACAAATATTTTGAACTAAACGGAAATGAAAACACAACTTATCAAAACTTGTGGGATGTAGTAAAAGAGGTGCTTTATTTACAGAATTGAATGCATATATTAGAAAAGAAGATCTAAAATCAATCATCCAGACTTCTACCTAAGGAAATTAGAAGAAAAAGAACAGCAAATTTAATCCAAAGTAAGCAGAAGAAAAAAAATAATAAAAATTAGAGCAAAATTCAATAAAATTGAAAATGGGAAATCAATAGAGAAAAATCAACAAAACCAAAAGTTGGTTCTTTGGGGGAAAAAAGTCAATAAAATTGATAATCCTCTCTCCAGGTTAACTAAGAACAAAAGAAAGGACACAAGTTACTAATATCAGAAATCAAAGAGGATACATCACTACAGATCCCAGGGACATTAAAAGGATAATGAAGGAATACTATGAATAATATATCCACAAACTTGATAACCTAGAGGAATTGGAACAGTTCTTTGAAAGACACAATATGCCAAAATTCACAAAACAAGGATAGATAATTTAAATAGGCCTGTATCTGTTAAAAAAATTAAATCGATAATCAACTACTCTCCAAAATATCAAGTCCAGATGGGTTCACTGGGGAATTCCAGGAAACAGTTAAGGAAGAAATTAAACCAATTCTCTATAATCTCTTTCAGAAGACAGAAGCAGAGAGAATACTTCCTGGCATATTTTATGAGGCCAGCATTACCCTCATTTCAAAATCAGACAAAGATACTATAAGAAAAGAAAACTACAGACCAATATCTTTCATAGCCATAGATACAAGATCCTCAACAAAATATTAGCAAATCAAAGTCAATGATATATAAAAAGGATAATGCACCATGACTAAGTGGGATTTATCTCAAGTATGCAAGACTGGCTCAACATTCAAAAGTCAATGTACGGCCGGGCGCTGTGGCTCACGCCTGTAATCCTAGCTCTTGGGAGGCCGAGGCGGGCGGATTGCTCAAGGTCAATATTTAAAATTATAGCCGGGGATAGGTGGCGCATGCCTGTAGTCCAGCTACTCCGGAGAGCTGAGCAGAAGGATCAGTGGAGCCCAGGAGTTTGAGGTTGCTGTGAGCTTAGCTGACGCCACGGCACTCACTCTAGCCTGGAGCAAACAAAGGAGACTCTGTCTCAAAAAAAAAAAAAAAAAAAAAAAAAAGTCAATGTATAAGACTTGTAAGTTGATTACTCCTAGATCAAAAGAAAAAAAAAAGGAGAAAAATAAAATAATTAATTAAAATAAAAGTCAATGTAATCCATCATATCCATAGGCTAGAGAAGAAAAATCACATAATCGTATCAATAGATGCAGAAAACACATTCAACAAAAATCCAATGTGCATTCATGATAAAAACTCTCATGCAGGCCGGGCGCAGTGGCTCACGCCTGTAATCCTAGCACTTTGGGAGGCCGAGGCGGGCGGATTGCTCAAGGTAAGGAGTTCAAAACCAGCCTGAGCGAGACCCCGTCTCTACCAAAAATAGAAAGAAATTAATTGACCAACTAAAAATATATATACAAAAATTGCCGGCATGGTGGCGCATGCCTGTAGTCCCAGCTACTTGGGAGGCTGAAGCAGGAGGATCGCTTGAGCCCAGGAGATTGAGGTTGCTGTGAGCGAGGCTGACGCCATGGCACTCACTCTAGCCTGGGCAACAAAGTGAGACTCTGTCTCAAAAAAAAAACAAAAAAAAAACTACTCATGCATGTTATAAAATGTACACTCTTAAAAACAGAAATTTTAAAAGATGAGACAAAAGACAAAAAGAAATGCATTAAAAAGTTCTAATACTTTTTTCCCAGACCCTAATGGATCACCTTGACCCCTCCCCCAGGGAACATACATCCCACTTTCAAGACCACTACCCTAGAGATAAACACATTGGCACCTATTTCCCCAGCTTCTTCTCATATACTAATGTATATATATTATTTGTTTAAAAAAAAATGAGAGTGCACCATTCAAACTGTTCTGTAACTAGCTTTTTACATATAACACTCCATGTTAGACATCCTTTCTCTTAGTAGAGGTCAAGCGTTTAAAGACAGCTCCATAGGAATTCACTAATGAGAAACACTGCATTTCTTTAATCAATCTCCTATTAATAGATATTTAGCAGGATTCCAATTTTTCACAAAGACAAGGAATACTCCCAATGGCCACCTTTATATGTTTGCATATTATTTGCTTTTTACCAAACATGTGATTAGAGCTGCATGGTTAACAGTCTTCTCACACCCGGCATCTTACTCAATTCGCCCAAATGCCCTGGTAAAAAGGCAGCGTAGAGATTCTCATCCTTATTCTGCAAATGGGGAAGTGAAGGTTCCAAGGGTTTACCTGAGCTAACACAAAATAGTAAGAGTCATCAGTACTCTGTGTACTGTGCTAAGAACTTGACATAGATTCTCTCATTTAATCTTCGCAAAAATCCTAGGAGATAGGTATGACTGTTATGCCCACTTTAGAGGGGAGGAAGCTGTGGCTCTGAGAAGTCCAGTAACTTACTAAAGGGCACCCAGAGTAATGGGTAGAGGTGTGAGGACTGACTCTGAAGCCTGGGCATTTTCTGCTTGCCACTCACCCATCAGGGATGCGGTGGGACTTGAACTCAGCACACCCTGGGCCCTCTCAGAAATAAAGTGCTGGCTATACCCTGGATGGCCTTAAAACCCTACCCCACAACCTCTTTTGATCACCTCCTCATGAGCAGGGAGAACATTATACCAGGGTTAATAAAAAATATTTCAGGCAATGAGTTCAAACTGAAACCAAGGGTACAGAAAAATCCCCAATTCTTGAAACTTGCTCTCTCCCTACTGAGTCAATATCTTTCCCACCACCAATGTCATAGGTTTCTGGTTTCTTCTTTCTAGTGGAGGCCAGATTCCTCCCTCAAGGGGTACCTATTGGTCTCAGCCACTCGCCTTTCACACATTACTCACATGGTATGTAGACGTGGGTGGCCCAGTTGCCCCGCTCGTGGGGGAAGGTGCGCACCCGTCCCCCGTGTTTTTCGCTGTCATCTTCAGGCCCCTCCTCAGTGCCCGGGAACATGTTCAGTACACTGTCAGGTACTGGAAACCTCTGACTGGGAAGGGGGCTCTGGCCACTGCAAGAGAAAAAGAAAACCAGCACATTTATCCTCCTCGAACTCTCTACCTTTGTACATACAACAAAAGTTGTAACTCCCTATAGACTATGACTCTGAGTGTGTATTTCCTACCAGATGCTTCTTTTTTTTATTTTTATTTTTTTTTTTTGAGACAGAGTCTCACTTTGTTGCCCAGGCTAGAGTGAGTGCCGTGGCGTCAGCCTGGCTCACAGCAACCTCAATCTCCTGGGCTCAAGCAATCCTCCTGCCTCAGCCTCCCGAGTAGCTGGGACTACAGGCATGTGCCACCATGCCCGGCTAATTTTTTGTATATATATTTTTAGTTGGTCAATTAATTTCTTTCTATTTTTGGTAGAGACGGGGTCTCGCTCAGGCTGGTTTCGAACTCCTGACCTTGAGCGATCCGCCCGCCTCGGCCTCCCAAAGTGCTAGGATTACAGGCCTGAGCCACCGCCTACCAGATGCTTCTAGATAGTCACAAAGCTATTTCCCCAGTACTGTCTCACTGGGGGTCTCCAACAACTCTGGGAGGCAGACCTTAGCAGGGTACATAGTCCCCACGGGAACAACTGGACAGACAGCCATGTGTAGTTCAGGGGTCACATTTCCTAGCTGGGGAGGCCTGAGCCAGCATTTTCTAGCTCTGTGATCTTGGGCAAGTCATGTCTCCTTTCTGGGCCCCAGATTCCATATTTGTAAAGTATATTTCTGCTAGATACAGCTATTATGAGATCAACTGAGATACTGCTTGTAATGCACTCAGGAAAGATAAGGCCTGGCCATTTAAAAACTTAAGCTCCAGGAATTCAGAGACTTTCATAGCTTTGTTCACTGCTGAGTTTCCAGACCCGACCATGGCGCTGCGTGGGTGCTCAAGGAATACTGGATGAATGAAAAAGCTCTCCATACGCTTTAGCAAGTATTATTATTATTGCAATTGTGTTGCAACGAGGAAACAGACCTAAGATGGCACAGTGATGCGCTCCAGGCAAGAGTGGGCCAGCGGAGGCTGGACCCGAACCTGAGTCCCACCTCCCAACCCTGCCCTAGCCAGGTGGAGGCAATCTGGGGCTTTGTCCAGGGGCGTCCTCTGGACCCTCCTTTCCTCCTGCGCCCCCTTTTCCTTCCCCGGGAGCCGCCGCGCACCCCCGATCCTCAGGTCCGGTAGGGGTCTCGCGCGAATCCGCGCCCTCCCGAGAGAGATTCCCCGCTCCTCACCGGCGGCGGCCCCCAGACCCCGGCCTGGTCCGCACGCCGGCCTCGGATTCATCCTCGGAGCCGCTGCTGCTGTAGCCCACCAGGGGCGCCGCACTCATGGGTCCTCGTCCGAGACCACAGAGCCGACCCACCGGCAACCTCACCCGGCACCCGGAGTTCCGCTGCGCCGGAAGTGCCCTCCCAGGGGCGGAGCTAGCACCGCCTCGGGGCGGGGCCGGGGGCCGGGACCCAGCAGGACCGCAGGAGAGTCAGCGCGCCCCGGCCGCGCCGCCGGCTCGCGGCTCGCAGGGGGTGGCACCTGGAGCCTCCCGGAGCACCCGCCACAGCCTTCGTGTGCCCATTTCACAGATCGCTCTGTCCCCTCGCCTCTCTGCTGCTCTGTCTGCAGCCACCCAGGACCACACTTCCCAGGCTCGACGGCCCCGGGCCAGCGCACTAGCCCCAGCAGGGATCCCCGCCCTCCGAGCTCCAGGATCAGGGGTCCCGGGGCCCCCTCCTCACACTGGCCCCAAGTCGAGCCGTGGACCCCTCCTGGAGCCAAGCCGAGCAGTGAGAGGCGGCTCACTTCCAGAAGACCGGAGCATCTGCGAGCTCCTCCCTCGGGTGCAGAGTCGGGCCCGGGAGCCCCCTCCCCTGAGGCCGAGCAGGGGTCGCGAGCAGAGCGCCCTCCCAGGGTCAGCCGAGGCGCCCCGGCCCGGCGACTCGAGACCGCCCCGAGCGCCCGGCGCGTCCGCCCGGCCCGGCCGCGGGGTCCCCGGCAGGGGGCGGCCTCGCTCCGCGCCGCCGCTCCTCCCGCAGCCCCCGCCTTCGCCGCCCGAGCCGCGGCTCCTCCCCGGCCCCGCCTCCCCGGCCCTCGCGCCGCCCGCCCGTCCGCCCGTCTCTGCAAGGCCGTCAGTCCGTCCGCCCGCCCTCCCGGCGCTCCTCGCCCCGGCCCCGCTACCCTGGCCGCGCGCGTCGCTTCCTCCGTCCCGGCCGCCGCTTGCCCGTCCCCCGCCCCTGAGCCGGCCGCCGCCGCTACGCAAGGCCGGGGATTGGCAGCGCGCGTAGGCCGCGCCGCCGCTGATGGAGCCGGAATAAAGGGGCGGCCGAGAGAGCAGCTGGTCGCCGCTCGCCCCGCGCCTGGCCCCGCGGGCGGCCTGGAGCAGGTGAGCGGCGGGGCGCCCGGGGCCGCGTCTGGGGGCCACTCCCGCGCCCGCCGCATCCCTTCCTCAGCCGGCCCGGCCGCCCCCCGCCCCTCCGACCCGACCCGGCAGCCTCTTGAGCTCCGGGGCGGTCCAGGCCCGGCCTGGACGCGCAGCCGCTTCCTGGGCCCGGCCTGCGGCCCTGGGGCCTTCCTCGGGCCCAGCCGCCCGGGGGCCGCGCTCGGGCTTCCCCGGACCGGCCGTCCCAAGCGAGGGCTGACAGGACGCAGCCCATCTGGGCCGGCGGGCAGGGCCGGCGGGAGGCGATCGGCTTTCCCTCGGTTTCCCAGGGAGGAGGAAGGTCCGGGGTGGGGCGCAGATGGGGGCCTCCCCTACCTCCCCTCCTCTCGTCCCTCCTCTTTGCAAGTGATCAGAGAGGCTTCCTGGCTGCACCTTGGAGGAGAGCCAGGGTGGGCAGTGAGGTTGTGAGCCCAGGCCGGGGGTCACTGGGTCCAGCAGCCATTCGTGCCAGGAAAAAAAAAAAAAAAAAACCAACAACAAAATCCCTGAAAAACAAAAAAAACCAGTGGTGTGGCGCAGTCCAACCTAGTGGCACTCAGAGAAGCCCACCGTCCTGTCCCCTATCTGTCCTGGGAAGGCTTGAATAACCCAGTGGTACCTGCTTGTTCATGCAACCTGCTGCCACCCGGAGCAGCCACTCCTTTCCTCCCTCCCTTCCCGGAAGATGCTGAGGATGACAGCATTTAGCTTGACTCTTCTGATTCTTTGGCAGAGCAGTTAGAGGCCAGACTGGCCTGTGAAGGCATCCCCTTCCTTCTTTCTCTGCTCGCGAGAAAACTTACAAACTTTTATATGGGAAAGGCAGATGAGCTGGGAACCTGGAAGTGGGTTGCATCTGATTCTAAAAGTTCCTCCCTCTTGCTGGCATTACCTTATGCTGCCACAAAGTGGTGAGTTAGAGATTTGCCTGGGCTGGGTGGGCTTTACCTTCCATTCATTACCCAGTATGTTACAGACTTGGAGCAAGGGAATGGGGTTGTCTCTGGAAAGATGATGAGGAGAAACGCCGTGTGGTTAGCATGCTACATCCTACGTTACCCATGCAGACCATGTACTTCCTTATATTTTCCCTCAGGCCAGTACTGTCAGATTCAGAGGATTTAGGCCTTTTTTTTTTTTTTTTTTTTTTTTTTTGGTGCTCTAGGATAGCAATCCCCCAACCTTTTTGGCACCAGGGACTGGTTTCATGGAAGACGATTTTTCCACATCCCAGATTGGGGATGGGGAGTATTGTTGGAAGGGGGGCATGCAGAGCTCAGGTGGGGATGTGCACTTGTTTCCTAACAGGCCACGGACCAGGGGTTGGGGACCTCAGCTCTAGGAGATGACTAGAATAAGGAAGTTCTGCTGTGTGGACATTGAGGCTTGGTGGGTCTGTGGACCTGTCATCTAGCCCCCATCATCCACTGGCTCGGGTCCCTGTAAGGTGATCTATCCTTTTATGGTAGAGAGAGGACAGGCATGTGGCCAGGGATAGTTGGGGGGGGGGTGTGGGCCAGCCTGTCACAGGAGAGGGTTTTTGAGATGGTCCTTGGTTCTGTGTAGTTGTCCTAAATATTGGCCACCAGTGGGCTCTCAGATCTGGGAGGTCTGGCCTCTCTGGCCCAGCAGGCTTTTCCTCTGAGCAGTGCATCCTGGGTTGAGATTCAGGGTGGCAATGAGATTCAGAGCTGGCAGGCCTCAAGAGGCCTCTGTATTGTGGTCAGATCATCCCAGATGCTCACTTGTGAGACACCTGGCTAAAGTAGCTTGGCAGGAAGCTGCAGGGGACTCGTGGAAGCTGGGATGCCCAGGGGTGTGGAACTGAGGTAGGTGGGAATAGAGGCAGCTGCCATCCCTTTTCCTGGAGTAGCTGAGCTGGTAGCAGAACTCTTTGGTCACGAGTGAAGGGAGCAGGTGTCCCAGCCCTGAGCACCTTTCCCTTCCCTGGCGGGGTCATGTCCGTGTGGTGAGTGCTGTCAGAGCAGGGAGAGGGCCCAGGGAATGGCTACTTGTTCCTGCCTCAAGCTCACGATTTCTCTCTTCCCTACAGAGCCGATCACTGGGGAAGGCAGAGCCTCCCTTGCATTGCTGGGACCCTGCCTTGAAGAGCCCCCATGTCCTGTAGACAGAGCCTTGTAGTCTGTCTTCTTGGTTAATGACTTGGGCTGTCTGAGAGTCCTCTTCTGTGCCTTGTCCGAGGTCCTTGTCCATCCCTGAGATCGGGCAGCTTCTCTCTCTGGGTTGGGTCACCTTAAGCGGGAAACTGAAGCCATTACTCTCCAAACCCTGTTTCATCTTCCCAAGCATGTCGGAAAGCTGGCAGCAGCCGCCGCAGACACAGCCGCAGCAGCCGCAGCCGCCGCAGCCGCAGCACCATGCAGAGCCGCCACCGGCCCTAGCCGAGCACACGCTGCCCCCGGGCACGGCTGAGAACCCGCTGGGCTGTGCCGTCTATGGCATCCTCCTGCAGCCTGACCCGGGCCTGCAGCCCCCACAGCATGCGCCCCTGCAGGCCGCGGGCGAGCCAGGCCCCAAATGCGGTGTGTGTGGTCACGACCTGACACACCTGTCCAGCCCGCATGAGCACCAGTGCCTGGCAGGCCACGACCGGTCGTTCCAGTGCACGCAGTGTCTCAAGATCTTCCACCAGGCGACCGACCTGCTGGAGCACCAGTGCGTGCAGGCTGAGCAGAAGCCTTTCGTCTGCGGCGTCTGCAAGATGGGCTTCTCGCTGCTCACCTCGCTGGCCCAGCACCACAGCGCGCACACCGGCCTGGTGAAGTGCTCCATCTGTGAGAAGACCTACAAACCAGCCGAGGCGGCCGAGCCGGCCACCACTGCCGCCCCGTCGCTGCCCCCGGCACCCCAGCCTGCCGCCGTGGTCCCCGCTGAACAGGCCGACAAGCCCTACAGCTGCCCCATCTGCCAGAAGCCCTTCAAGCACCTGTCGGAGCTCTCCCGGCACGAGCGGATCCACACGGGCGAGAAGCCGTACAAGTGCACGCTGTGCGACAAGAGCTTCAGCCAGTCCTCCCACCTGGTGCACCACAAGCGCACGCACAGCTCCGAGCGGCCGTACAAGTGCGCGGTCTGCGAGAAGACCTTCAAGCACCGCTCTCACCTGGTGCGCCACATGTACGCGCACTCGGGCGAGCACCACCTGTTCCGCTGCAACGTGTGCGAGCTGCATTTCAAGGAGTCGTCGGAGCTGCTGCAGCACCCGTGCACGCCGAGCGGGGAGCGGCCCTTCCGCTGCGGCGAGTGCCAGAAGGCCTTCAAGCGGCCATCGGACCTGCGGCAGCACGAGCGCACCCACAGCGCCGAGCGGCCCTTCAAGTGCGACCTGTGCCCCATGGGCTTCAAGCAGCAGTACGCGCTCATGCGGCACCGGCGCACGCACAAGACCGAGGAGCCCTTCAAGTGCGGCCTGTGCGAGAAGGGCTTCGGGCAGCCCAGCCACCTGCTCTACCACCAGCACGTGCACACCCTCGAGACTCTCTTCAAGTGCCCGGTGTGCCAGAAGGGCTTCGACCAGTCGGCCGAGCTGCTGCGGCACAAGTGCCTGCCGGGCGCGGCCGAGCGGCCCTTCAAGTGCCCCGTGTGCAGCAAGGCCTACAAGCGGGCGTCGGCCCTGCAGAAGCACCAGCTGGCGCACTGCGCGGCGGCCGAGAAGCCCCTGCGCTGCACCATGTGCGAGCGCCGCTTCTTCTCCTCGTCCGAGTTCGTGCAGCACCGCTGCGACCCAGCCCGCGAGAAGCCGCTCAAGTGCCCGGACTGCGAGAAGCGCTTCAAGTACGCGTCAGACCTGCAGCGGCACCGGCGGGTGCACACAGGCGAGAAGCCTTACAAGTGCCCCAACTGCGACAAGGCCTTCAAGCAGCGGGAGCATCTCAACAAGCACCAGGGCGTGCACGCCCGCGAGCAGCAGTTCAAGTGCGTGTGGTGCGGGGAGCGCTTCCTGGACGTGGCCCTGCTGCAGGAGCACAGCGCGCAGCACAGCGCGGCCGCCGCGGCCGCCGAGGGCGCCTACCAGGTAGCCGCCTGCTTACCCTGAGTCGGCGCCGTGGTCCCCACCGGCCTGCCCTGAGTCCACACCCTGGGCCCACCGGCCCGGCCCGGCCAGCCCCCCACCCAGCTCGGTGTTCTGCGGCCCTGGGAGTGAGGTCAGAAGGGGCCTAGGCAGGCGGAGGGTGTGGGCGCTCAGCATTCCCGGCAGCAGCCTGGCAGTGGGGGGCCAGATTGCTGTGGCCGGTCCTCATTCCATACATCTCTTTCCCATCACAGGATCTGCTTTCTTGAGAGCCGTCAGCCTCCCTTATTTCTGGAGGATTGGAACCAGGCTGGAAGTCAAGGCCTCTCCCTGCCCCAAGGATGGGGCGATGCCAGCCCAATCCCCCAAATCTTCCAACAAAATTAGAAACCAGATAGGTTA